CTTATATGTAGTCTCAGTTATTCTATAATAAGGGTGACCATAGTGTTGGGTATTGGACCCCCATCCTATGTGGAGAAAAGACCCAAAATTGAGAAGCCCACTTGATGTCTCACTTAATTAAGTGGAGAGAGAGTGTGAAGTATAAGAGTGAGAAAGAGGGAAAGTCAGAAGTCACTTAGAACACCAGCACTTTGAGGGAGAGGTAGAGTGAAAGTCATTCTCGTTTTTACAAAGGGCTGCGACAGTAAAATCGATATCGCAGATTCGTTCATCGTTGGATTGAGCTAAAAATTGGACAGCAGGTTCATGACATCCAGTTCTTCATTCTGACTGGTTGTATCGTTGAAACGAGGTCTGAGTAGGGAGATATTCAGTTCGCACTATAGCTATATATTTGGGGTTTTTCATCTTCATTGTTCTCTATTTGTAAGCTTTATTGCTTTGTTATTTGGCTGGGTGTTAGCACTATTTTGTGCAGTTGATTAAGACTCTTTTGTATTTTTTATTGATCATAGTGGAACTATTTCTTTGGTCTGGACGACTTGTGGTTTTTATCCTTGCTTTGAGGGGTTTTTCACGTTAAAAATCTTGGTGTCTTTCACTACAAGAAAAATTGTTATTATCTACGGAATATTATCTACGGAATTTTTTCCGTAGGTAATATTTAATTATCTACGGAATATTATCTACAGAATTTTTTCCGTAGGTAATTTTTAGTTATCTACGGAATATTACCTACGGAATTTTTTCCATAGGTAATGTTTGGTTATCTACAGAATATTACCTACGCAATTAGTTATCTACGAAATATTACCTACGGAATTTTTTCCATAGGTAATTTTTAGTTACCTACGGAATTTTTTCCGTAGGTAATTTTTAGATACCTACGGGGTGTGGTTGACTAACTATGACAGTTTTACAAACTATTTACCAATTTGGGACTCCTTTGAAACAAATTACCACTTTGGTCAATGCTGGAAAACGCAATATGCTATGTATGTTTTTCTAGCGTCATATTGCATTTTCTAGTGTTGACTACTCCAAATTGATAATTATCTATGGCAGTTTTACAAATTATTTACCAATTTGGGACTCTTTTGAAACAAATTACCACTTTGGTCAATGCTGGAAAACGCAATATGCTATGTATGTTTTTCTAGCGTCATATTGCATTTTTTAGTGTTGACTACCCCAAAAAATCTCAGTTATGATACACCAATTAAACATCTCAACCGTTTATTATTTTATTATTATATTTCACGGTAAATTTTGACGGTCCATGATATACCACTTGCATTACTAGTTCACCCAAGAATTCACCATTTTTAAGATCCACTCTCAATAAAATATCAGCAATAAAGATGCTTTTAAGAGTGAATCCAACGGTTCCAATTCAATGCTATTAATTTTTTTTCTTAAATTAAATCAATTTCACCAAAATTATAATATTGCACAAATTATTTAAGCAAGCTCCATCTTGGTAGCAGTGCAGCTAACTGTCAGTGACGGGCAGTTGGAAACCATTGGTTGAACGACCCTTCAACTCCATTCCCCAAAATTAAATATTACAGTAAGTAACTATGAAATAATCAATTAGTATATTAAAATTATGTTTTATTAACTATTTTAATCGAGTATTGTGTTGACTCTTATTTTTTGCTTCTGAAATTAAACTTCTTTTTAAAATTAAAAATGATTTGATGTGATTGATTGTCTTTTCAATTGGGTACTTGGCAAAAATTTGTCCATGTTCAGATGCTATTCTGATTTCTGACACATATTTTATGTTCACTCGTTTTTCTCGACTCTTCCTTGGCAAATCTACAAGTCTAGCTTCTTACTCTGTAGCTTCTATTTGGCAAATCTTTGTTCTTTTCTTCTGTTCTCAACTGTTGGTCCTTCTTACTCTGTAGCTTCTATTCTTTCAGCATAGCAAAGATTGCCAATTTGCCACATAATATCAGCTTCTATTCCAAGTCTCCAATATTGCCATCCAAGTGTGTTCAACTTGGGTTTTGAATTTTGACTGATTTCAACGATCATTTGTGATTAAAGTCTCATGCTTTGAGAGTTTTCTGAATCTGGGTTTCTTCTCAACATCTATTTCGAGAGTATGTTTGTTTTTTTCTTGCTTCATTGTTCTTCTGTTTAGCTATTAAATATGGGTCTGTGCAGCATTGTATGTGTATGACTGTTTTCAATTGGTTGATTGATGATTTAATGCAGGAAATTGGACCTAGGATATCGTTGTACTTTAGTTTATAATCAAATAATGTAGTGAACAGTTATGGCTTGGATACTCTTTTGCTCCATCATATTAATTTTTAGTTTCAGTTTATTTGTTTTCTATAAAAAGTTCTATTTTAATCCATTAGACATTAGACTATTAGAGTAACTATGTTAAACCGAATTGGTGTGGTTGACTAACTATGACAGTTTTACAAACTATTTACCAATTTGGGACTCCTTTGAAACAAATTACCACTTTGGTCAATGCTGGAAAACGCAATATGCTATGTATGTTTTTCTAGCGTCATATTGCATTTTCTAGTGTTGACTACTCCAAATTGATAATTATCTATGGCAGTTTTACAAATTTTTCTTCCGTAGATAATGCTGATTTTTCTTGTAGTGTTTGTGTTTGATTTTTGGTGATTTATTATTGTTGTTCATTGGTTGTTGCTCTTCACAGATTCTTGCAAGTTTGGGGAATTTATTTCTGTTGCGATAACTGTTTGAGTTTGCTCTGTATTGTTATTGTGTTGCTGTTTCCCATCAGAGTGGCATCAAAGCTCTTGTTGGCTCTGGTTTGGGGCTATTTGACTTGCTTGAATGATATAGGCAAATACTAAAATGATTGCTTTGAATGGCACTAATTATCACTTGTGGAAGGGAAAGATGAAAGACTTGCTATTTGTGAAGAAAATGCATCTTCCTGTCTTTACTACTCAAAAGCCGGATTCTATGTCTGATGAAGATTGGGATTTTGAACACCAACATGTGTGTGGTTTTATTCGGCAATTTGTAGAAGATAATGTTTATAATCACATTGCAAATGAGACACATGCTAGAACTTTATGGGAGAAGATTGAGTCCTTGTATGCTTCTAAATCAGGAAATAATAAATTGTATTTGTTGAATTGTCTGATGAATTTGAGGTACAGGGAAAGTTCTTCCATTTCAGATCACTTGAATGAATTTCAAAGGTTGCAAAGGTGTGTAGCATTGTCCAATACAGAGGCAGAGTTCGTTGCCATTATTGAAGCATGCAAGGAGTTGCTATGGTTGAAGAAATTCTTGCAGGAGCTTGGTTTTGTACAGGAAAAATATCCTTTATTTGTTGATAGTCAGAGTGTTATCCATCTTGGCAAGAATCTAACTTTCCATTCTAGGTCCAAACATATCGATGTAAGGTATCATTGGATACGTGATGCTTTGGATGCTAAGCTGTTGGAGTTGGCTAAAATTCATATCGATGATAATGGAGTTGATATGATGACTAAAGCATTGCCAAGAGAAAAATTTGAAATTTGTTATGAGATCGCCAGTTTGGCGGTTATCTCCACATAGTTGTGAGGGAGAGATTTGTTGGGTATTGGACTCCCATTCTATGTAGAGAAAAGACCCAAAATTGAGAAGCCCACTTGATGTCTCACTTAATTAAGTGGAGAGAGAGTGTGAAGCATAAGAGTCAGAAGTCACTTAAAAAACCAACACTTTGAGAGATTAGTGGAGCATAACTACATGCTTCAAATAACATCTCCAAGGCCTCTGATGCGGCTTCTTGTGGACAACCAGCAATATTCTTCTTTCAATTGCCTTATCTTTGTATTGATGTTTTATTTGCTGCCAAGCAAACAGAATATGAGTTGAAGGCTAACAAATTCTGGAGATATCCTTATATGTAGTCTCAATTATTCTATAATAAGGGTGACCATAGGAGAAGATAAATACAAGCTTAGAACCCTTTCTCTATGATGTTGTAATCTCTCTTCCCTCTTTTGATCCCTTTAGCTTCCCTAACCCACAACTCTTATGGAAGTAATCACTTTCCACGCAGTTATGACTTATGATTAAGGAAAATTTTACGCTCTTAATAGTCACTTTGTTATATGTCTACTACTCCTATCATGCTATGTGCTTTCTCAAGGAAGTTGAACAGCCATTATCTTATGATTAAGGAAAATTTTACGAGTCTTAATAGTCACTTTGTTATATGTCTACTACTCCTATCATGCTATGTGCTTCTCAAGGAAGTTGAACAGCCATTATTTATTATAAAAGAAGAAAATGAGCTACTTATTTGATTTCTAAATCAGACCACACACCTTAGAGGCATAGAGCTGACTTGGCAACACAGACAAATGTTTCTCCATTAGGATTTCATCTGAAGCTGAAGCAGAGCTTTCACCGGATTTGGAGAGCCGAGTGATTTTTCTACTTGATGATAACTGGGAAAAATCCCAATGTTGTGTTGGATTGGAAGAATCATAAGTTGATATTTTTGTTAATGATAAAAGGCATAAATTTGGGAGCAAAACAAACTCTCTATATTCTCATTCATGTTGCAAATGAAATTACACTTATTTGTAATTGAAAGAAAAACACAACGTTTACATCTTTAAATGCCTCTCATAATTCACACCATTAATATTATTAAAACAAAATAAAACTCCTAATTTAAGTTTCATAACAATTTTGCCACGTATTTTGCACTAGGATTTCACAATCTGTGCACTTGTCCTGATAAAAGAACATGACAAGAAGCCACATTTAGTCCAGGGAGTACTTATAGCACTACCATTTTATTGAAAATCCTAATACCGCTTCATCTTAAAACTTACTTATCCATGATGTTAGACAGACTCTATAGGAAAGATAAAAAAATATGAAATTCTTTTAAATTACATATGATTACATCTCTCTGGTGTCACTTCAAAATAGTTACATTCCATACATGGAGAAAGATACTTACTAACAAATACAAGAGTAAAATGCAAACCTGTTTTAACTCATACCAGATCCAGATGTGCTTCACGGATGACGTGGATGAACTTTCTGAAATGTCTCTGGCTGGGAAGCAAAAAAGAATCAATAAAGCACAGAACATCGTGTTATCATCTTGAATGACCAATAATCATTGTTTGGCAACTTTTAGCCACTAACCTTGTAACGTAAGCCAACTGCAATTTCCCACTCAAGTACAGACTTGTTATAAATACGCATATGCGACAATAGGCAAGGCTCCTGCGACAAAGAAATGTAACTGTTATTTAATATAATGACAACAGTCAATCTAATAAGGGAATTAAAGCATAGCAGAGAAAAATAGAAATTCAATTCGTCGTATTTTCAGCATATCGGTACAAGAGACCATTAAACTATAGCCTTAACATAATAAGAAAAAACAGAAGAGAAAAAGGATAAGTCCAGAAGGAGAAATTACATAATACTCAATGCCCCTTTTCTTGCTCCTTCCCCTCCACTATATTATTTCTTTGCCTCAATAACCAACATAGTCCTCTAAGAGTTCTGTTTGGCTTCCTCATTCTGTTACTTATAAGCCTAGCAACGCCAAAACTTTTGTTCCCATCTCCTGCTCAACAGAGCCACTATTTGACTCATCCACATCAGCCATCCTCCCATTCATCACATCTAAATTACACAAGGAGATGCAAAACACCAGAAATGCCCAACTGCTTCCAAACTTGAACCACTCAACTCCAAGCAAACAAACAAACCACTCTTGGCATCAATCCTACGTAGACAACACAATCAACCCTCTCTTCTCATTTTCAAATTTCAACAACACAATATAAAAGATTTTTGTTTCTACTCTTCATCATTAGCTATTATTCTAGAATATTGAGTTAAATCCTATAGAACTATTAGATATTTTGTCTTCATTTACCTTAGGCCATTTGGTTAATTAGGTAGGCGAATGCTCTCCAATTATTTTTTTTTATGTGTATATTTTATATTTTTTTGACTGTTTCTCTTTTAATATATGTCATAATATTGGAGGAATTGAGATTTTCAAAATTTGATTTCTCGATATTGTTTCCTAGATTTATATACAATGGGATCGTCCTGGATTCGCCAAAAACATTGGCATCCAACAACACTTATATAGGCTCATCCTAACTCAGGCCAATCGAGAGGCCATTGAGAAGAAGGCTACATGCACTAGTACAGAATATACATTCTACGTCAGTTACTTTAGGGATTTTACGTCGGAAAAACCGCCAATGTGGAAGCGGAAGACGTAAATTTACATCGGTTGTAAAAAACCGACGTAAATTTACGTCGGACATAACAAGTCCGACGTAAAAGTTATAAAAAAAATTAAAAAAAAAAAAAGAAAAATGACTGCAAGCAGAACGGGTCGTTGTCCAAGCAGAACGGCCCGTTTTGCGTGGAGAACGGCCCGTTTTGCGTGGAGAACGGCCCGTTCTGCATGGAGAACGGCCCGTTCTGCATGGAGAACGGCCCGTTCTGCATGGAGAACGGCCCGTTCTCCAAGCAGAACGACCCGTTCTGCAACCCGGACTTGGCTTTTCTTCTGGCTTT